AAAAAAAAAAAAAAAAAAAAAAAAAAAAAAATTTCACATGGCAACCGAAAAGGCTTAAAGTTCTACTTCCTTAGCTATAGTTGCTCCTTTAAAATCAGCTTCTTATTTTAAAAAGCTTTTTTATATTCTAGAACTACTTAATAGGGGTTAACATAATGCAAATACATTTTCCTTTTGTTGTTCTCATCTTCCAAAGTTTTGAATCAATCTCTGTTGTACATTAGTCCATTCTGAAGTCAGCATTCCTAGGCCAGGCACAGTGGCTCACGCCTATAATCCCAGCACTTTGGGAGGCCAAGGTGGGCAGATCACTTGAGGTCAGGAGTTCGAAACCAGCCTGGCTAACATGGTGAAACCCTGTCTTCTTATTTTATTTTATTTTTTTTATAGTTATACTGTGTTCAGAGAAACCCTGTCTTTACAAAAAATACAAAAATATTAACCAGTTGTGATCTCAGCCGCTCAGGAGGCTGAGACAGGAGGATCTCTTGAACGCAGGAGGCAGAGGTTGCAGTGAGCTGAGATCACGCCACTGCTCTCCAGCCTGGGCAACACAGCAAGATTCTGTCTCAAAAAAAAGAAAAATAAACTTAGCATTCCTACTTCTAGTGTGAGAGTTGTGTATACTGTTTTATGAAGGTTCTGCTTCAAGTGTGAGTTATGTGAAATCATATGATTTTAGGATAGATGTGAAATTATTGAGTTCTCAGAGGTCATGTGATATCATATATAATATTTTATGAATATTTTGGTATAATTAATAGCCATGAAAGCTATGTCTTTTTGATTGGCATTCAGCAATTTTAGTTCTGGCTTTTTGCTTGATGTTTCTAGATTAGTATCACAAAAGTTCAGATATGTCCTTTTAATAGATTTTTAGTCTTTGACTTCTTTGGTAAAGTGCACTCTGTGACAACAGTTTACTAAAGAGTTAAAGTCACTTCCTTATCATTTGACATGTAGCAAAAATGACTTCACAAATTAATAGGTGGTTTCATATTATAGAGTTAAATTATGGCATTCCTTCGTTAACAGCCACACTTAAAAAAAAGATGGCATTTTACAAATAATGGGAAGATAACAATTTTAAAACAAATAAGAAAGTGGTATTTAGTGTTAATTAAAAAGAACCTTGTAGCATTATAAATAAAGGAGAAGGCATTTAAAAGGAGAGGTTTTAGGAAGGGCTGAAGCAGTTTCTGCAGCAAGTGCTTGTAGGCTATCAGGGTACCAGCTCCTGTCACAGGAACCTGTGTGCTTT